TCTACAAAGTTCCCACTTGGCTCAAATTGGAAGCTGGGTGGATTGAAGACTCAGAGGTCACGAACAACACAATAGAATGGACAGGTCTTGATGAAGGTGAACTGATTACTACCATCGAAAACAGTGCAAATTGGAAAGCACCTGGTCCAGATAAGATACAAAGCTTCTGGTTCAAAAAAATCCCTACCATCCATACCTACCTAAAATTACCAATCAGAAAAGGATTCCTACCATGGTTAGACAAAGGGACTACATACCTGATAGCAAAGAATAGAGAAACTGCCAATCCCAAAAACTATAGGCCCATAACCTGCCTCAACATAATGTATAAGATCTACACAGTACTTATGACCGGAAAAACCCACTAATATCTGGAAAAAGCAAAACTTCTTCCAATTGAACAGAAAGGATGCTGCAAACGAGCTAAAGCCTGCCTAGACCAACTTCTAATATCTGAAACCATCATTGAGGACTGCTGAAAGAACAAAAAGAACCTATCGATCGCATGCCTGGATTACCAAAAAGCCTTCATCAGTATGCCCCACAGCTGGATCATCAGTGCACTGGAACTCATAGGAGTGCACCCTAATATAATGAACGCCAGTAAGAACATGATGGAGCATTGGTCGGCAATCATTCATTTGGAAGGAAAAACAGATACGATTATCACCTCTGAAATCAAAATCAGACGAGGAATCTACCAAGGGAAGGCCTTCTCTTCCTTTCTATTCTGCATTGGATTAACACCCCTCTCTATATGACTGAACAACATGAACAATGGATATAACATCAAGGCAGGTCCCTAAACAACTGCCGCACCTCTTGAATATGGATGATCTGAAACTGTTCAGCAGCAGCGACAAGTAACTGCAATAACAACTTGAGACAGTGGAAGAATTTAGTGACGACATAGGTATGAAATTTGGCCTAGATGAGTTCCTTCAAGACACTTTCACGAAAGGGAAATATATCCACGGAAAAAACGCAGATATAGACGTCAATATCAGCATCCAATAGTTAGACCCAGGTGAAACGTACAAACACCTCGGAACGGAAGAAAAAATTGGCCTTAGGCCGATTTCTTAGCGGAGCGGGCGTATGAGGGGGAGGGCGCTTCGCCCCACTCCGCTTCGTGGTGTGGTACGGAGACGGTACTTTCTTAAAATTCTGCATAAACTTTCTTGCTCAAGCCAGAGCTCCGCGGCGGCCTTGTAAAAGATCGCAGAGTTAACATGAAGACACCCAGGCATGAAAGCTTCAACATGAAATCTTCAATTGAATTAGGTATTGGCCTATTTCTCATTGCCACACCTATTTTCAAAATAATATTAATGTTTAAATAAAAAAAAATGAGTTTTGTAACTTATTTGGACGAAGAATTATAATGCGGTATTTATAGAGCCAGTAAAATTTTAGACGTATCATCGGGACTTGAGCTCTCGTTAGCTCGTCGCGTGTGTCTTAGTCATTCGGCCACCGGAGAGATTTGTCAAAAGAGACGAAATTAGCAACGTTTGTGGTTCTCCGCCTGGGACCTCTACCCGCTTGAGATGATCCACCACCCATCCGCCGGGAGTGCAGCGCCGCGCCGCTCCAGAGTCTGACAGCCTCACTAACTTGTCACTAACCTCACTTTTCACATTTGGTAATTGAGGTAATTTGGTAAACAAAATAGTTGCTTCATGCTTTGTGTATTCACTGTAATCAATGAATCAATCATGTTCATGCAGCACTTTTATATTTGTGTTCAGTACCTTTTGAAAAGGAGCCGCGAAAAATTGAATCTGCCGGGATGCTTTAGTTCATGATTAAAATAAATATTAGCTTCCAATAAATATCTAAGTGTTAGCTCTAGTGTCAGCTTGGATGGTTCATAGTATGTTAGTATTTAATTAGTCGTCCAATTTAGCTTGATGTATTCGGAGTAATTTTGGAGATAATACATTTGAAATCCTAGGTTTCACCTGACTCAAAGCACTTGCTGCTAATACCCAGGAATGTTCCGTAGTTCCGTCTCATTTAGGGGAGAACTGACCATTTGCTATTGGCCCCCTTTCAATTTCGAGATTAATCCAAGGATCTTTTAGGAATCTAAATTAATGACTCAGGTGGTGCTTTGTGCAAACTTTCTAAGAATTAAAGGGCTTTCTACAAAATCTACAGCCCCTCTCCATGAGCTCATTGTGTGATCTCGTGGAACAAAGTGCCCCCTGCGATATGACCCGTATCCCTTCAATTTTAAGTTCAGTCCCAAAGTCTTGTAGGAACTTAAATTAATGATCCAGGTGGTGCTTTGTGCCAACTTCCAACGAATTAAAGGCATTTTTTCAAAATTTACAGTCGGTCAAAGTGTCTCTTTGTGTGAATTTGATAAAAATCATGTTTTGCCTCCAGCTCCCCCCCCCCCAAACTTTGGGGCACCCCAAAATCACTTGACGTGCATAAGAAGACCATAGATATGGTTTTCCATGCAAATTTTGAATGAAATTGAATAGATAAGATTCTGAAATATGGCTGTACACAGAAAAAGAGTACGCCTGGTGGACGGACATACATTTTTTTGAGTACGGTTCTTTTGACCCCAGGCACTCTGAAACGCCTAGAATTGATGAAATTTCAACTTACTTTTTTTTTTTTCTTGGATGATGACAACACTTTCTCTACCTGCGAGGGGAGGGAGAAAGTCCAAATTGGCATCCAGCATAAGAAAATAAAAGATAAGGTAAAGAGAATATCTATGACGTGTAAGCGCAGTACTGAAGACAGAGCTAATGGCAAAAAACAAGATAACTGCAATCGGAGTTCTAGCCGCACTTGTCCTCCAGTATGGATTTGCAATTCTGGAGTGGAAAATAAAGGAAATATAAGCGTCAGACATAGAAACGAGCAAGCACTTTAAAATGCATTAAATGCTCCATCCCTCCGCAGATGTCAACAAGCTATTAGTGAGCAGAAAATTAGGAGACCGAGGATTTCGACAAATTGAATGAACGCGCACATCTTCCATCATCATATAAAGTACTACCTCTAAGGAAAAAAGGACCAAGACCCTTTTCTTAAGGCCCTGTATGCCGTCCATCTTACTCTACAGAAAGCTCATAAAGCGAAAGTAGCAAACAAATTTGAGGGCGAGCTCGGAGAAAACTTAGAAGTAGCTTCTAAGAACATCAGGAAGTAAAAAATCAAAAAAGGAAATCTCAGAAAGCATTAGAACCAAATGGAAAGGAAAGATTATACACGGACAGTATCCACTGGTGCTAGACAATGACTCTATTGAAAGTAATCTCTCAACCATGTGGCCCAGTAAAGGTGTACCAAAGGCAGAAATAGTAAGCCTAATCGTAGCGGCACAAGATCAAGCCTTAAACAGAAGGTACCGAGAGAGGAATATTCACAAGGGACATGTGAACAGTAAATGCAGAATCTGCCATCAGTTTAAAGAAACCATTGAGCACATTACATCAGGTTGCCCAATTCTAGCTCATAAAGACTATATCGAGAGAAACAACAGAGTATGTACTCAATTTCACTACAGTCTCTGCAAAGAATATTAAATCGAAGTCGAAGCAGGTAAATGGTATGAACAGAAACCGATGAACACTGCAACAACCTGAGATGGAGAGACACCGATCCTGTGGAACTTCTCTATCAGATCCGATAGAACTGTTGAGGCAAACAGACCGGACATCATCCCACGTAGGAAGGGCCAATCAGGTCTGCTGATCTATGTCTCTATACCAGCTGACAGGAACATCATAAAGGAGGAAGTTGCGAAGAAACGAAAATATAAAGACCTGGAAATCGAAATCAACAGAATGTGGAAAACTAACACCAGAGTCATACCCTTTGTGATTGGAGCTACCGGAGCAGTCACCAAAGACGTGACGAAACTGAAGAACGAATGAACAAAGACAACACGAGTGCCCTTTGGCATTTCCTTCTTCCGGTCCTTTCCATGAAGAGAGGTGCACGGTTCTAACCAGATTTGTTTGTGAAGCAGACTCACCATCTTTTCTCAAAATTTTGTAGCAATATCTAAATAAGAATTGTCATAAAATACGAGCCGTGAACTACAATCATACGAGTTCTCTCGTCTATACTCCTCGTTGGACACAGGCTAATAACAGTGTGAAGACCGCAAAGCTGCCCTAGGCCTTGGCGCTGTCACTTGATCAGCAAAAGGAGGAAAGAGGGAAGCCCTTTAAGTATCTCTTCAGTCTCGGCTCTTTGGACACGCATATCTGTGATCATTAAAAATTAAACAATTGGACTGCTTCCCTCCTTATGTGTTAACAGATAAATGTTCCATATGTAAAGAAAATAATCGAACCTACAACAATTTGTTTGAATAATTTCGAAATTTCGAGATTTCAAAGTTTGAATTTGAATAAAAAATCAGAATAAATATTCGAACACGAGTATTTGAGGTTCTTAAATATTCGCGTAGCCCTAGTTAGAAGCCATGTGGAAGAAAACATATTATAAAATATTATCCGGTGCTCCAAAGTCGTGAGTAACTCAGTTTGAAAGTAATGGTTTAGAGAGGAGCTAATGGTAGTGTCCCGTGCCCTTTCAGGACAGGTTGAGACTTTTCTGTTGAAAATATGTCAAAGTGGATGAAATTTTCAGCTTGATAGGCTGCAACTTGGCCTTTTCCAAAAGAATACATTGTTCATATTTCTTAACACCTTTCACTTCAACCAGTGTTACTTAAGTTGTTAGAGCAGCGGGTATAAATTTTTTGTAATTTTTCTCCTACTAATAGCTTCCAACCTATCTGCACACCTTAACTTCTAAGATCCAGCCCTCCTTCGAATTTGAAGATTTCAGAAATGAAAAATACCTTGCCTTTTGCTCTGCGTTGGCCAGTGGGTTCTCTTTCTTCTTCATTTATTCACCCTCTTTAAAATCCATCATATCAAGTTTTACTGAGTTCAAGTTATAATGCTAAAGCATTACAACTGCTGTTAAGTCTAATTTTCTCTTTTACTGTTCAACAGACAGAGCAGAGAAATTTTGTGCTCTCTTTAGCTTTGGAGTATGGATTAATCAAGTTTATCACAGACTGTATTGACCAATGGGTCAATGGTCAGTTCTGCATTTCTGGTTGCTCCTTGCCAGCGGTCATCCACTGGGCTTGGGACAGAATTTCTCTCATCAAGCAACATGCTGACAGACTATGTGAGTGATGGAAATACTTAGTTCTAGTTTTCCTCTTTGTTGGATTAAAAAACTGGTTGTTAAAATTTTATTTTATCATGAGATGGGTTGAAATTATACAGACAAATTCTTGATTACAATGAAAAAAATGCTTTAAGAAGTAACAAGAGTAATGCTCATCATTTCAGAGGAGTAATTATATCAGTGTTCGAAGCTCCTTGACCAATTGTATTCACAGATCCATGCATCAAAACAATTGATTCAATGCTCATTGCACTGCCCACAGTTTGTTTGTTTGCCTTTTTCCTCCTTTTTTTCTTTTCTTTTTCGTTGTAAGACCATTTCCATCTCTTTACTTGAGTCCTTTTTGCCTCGGCTTCAAATAATGGAGACAGATAACAATTACTTTAACTACTCTCCATTTACTCATTACGATTGGAGACTTCAAATATATTTTTTTCAGCCAAAATTTGATGAAACGGAATAGAAAAAATGCAGGTATTCTCACTTTCCACTTCTCTGTTAATGAAAAAATAAAAGACAAAAAAAGGAATAAAAATTTGCAACCGCTCCATTCAAGGGAAAATCAACAGTACACATTATCATTCTTGTTTCCTTATGTTTGCATTTTGCAAATTGAACATACGATTTGAAATTTTATTTTTTTATCGTAGGTGTCCCTTTGTTTGATTATTCTGGAACGAAACTAGATACCAATGGTCTTAGATCGCTGGAACACTGCCGAGTTCAAATGGTCAAAGCTCAGCAAGTTTTCAAGTATATCCAAGCTCATCACTCAAATGAATTGATTGCCAGTAAGTATACTTGGAACCATACACAGCATTTGCCCAGAAATTTAAAATTAAGATACCAGCACCTGTGCTTAGACAGGGGCACGGCTCCGTTGAAAGAAAGTTATATGAAAAGTGAATGTACATCTCCGATCTCTTCGGCATCTTCAAGGAGGGTTAAAATACTATGTTTTCAGCCCCCCCCCCCCCCCCCNATACTCCCATTTTCCACCACTGCAGTAGAGAGAGAGATAGAGAGTGAGCTGTGTGTGCCACTTTCTTCTGGAGTAACCCTTTGGAACCCCCTCTGACGAGCCCTAGGAGAGAGTGTTCTGATCTATGATGATGATGGCGCCCCATACGAAGCGCAGATATTGCCAGTGTTATTTCAAATTTTACAACAATAGTATTCCCTAAGAATTGTAATTTGATCAAATCCAAGTTTTCATCCTTTTTCTCATGCTGATCCTCGGAAACCTCATTACTTTATTGTATATATTTTAATTTTTCAGTGGTATTGACGCAGCATTGAAAATCGGAATTAAAGAAAGGATAGACCTTAGCTTTGTTAGGCCCAGGGTTAAAAAATAAAATATGCATAGTTAATATCTGTAAGTGTACAGTCGATTTTTGGAACTAGCTTGCGTGAATCTACACATTTTAATCATTGCATTATTGCTAAAAAAGCTGATTTTTCTAGGCGCGCTGGCAACACTTTATTTTAATATAGGGGTCATGAGAGTGTCAGATACCCTCATAAGCCTCATTAGTTGTGATTTAAGGTTGATTTCGTACCATTTTCCAACGAAAATAATGTATTTGTGTCATTGAACTAAACAGAGAAGAAGTGGGAAAATAACGGCACATTTGGCAAAATTTGGCAACACCGTGTTCAATCATTTGGGGAAGTTTGGAAGACTGACTTTAATACAAATAAGTACATGATGAATACTTAATACTGTAAAAATTTCATTGAATTTCATGCATTATTCGATCAGTTATGAATTATTTCCTATCTGCCCATAAGGACACTGCACTATGCCCTGTCTTGGATTTGGGGCACCCCCTTTAACCGGGGGGACTTTTTTGACTAGATATCTGAAATCTATGGCCAAAATTACATAGGAATTGATACCTCACATGACACTCTATGCGCATTTTAAAAATCCGAGATTCCAGAGGCCTTAATATGGCCGCCATTTTGATACTTAGGCATTTAGGGGGTGTTCCGGGGTTGAACCGTGGTAAACTTTGGGTATGTTGTTCAGGTGGACCTACTGATGACATTTACATGGCAAAAGTTTGTCAAGCAGTATGTTCCAGGTCAAACTGTATTTCTCCCTGACTATACGCTGAGACGATTGTAGAGCCACTGGGCATCTCAAACCGTCAGCCCCCATTAAACAATAACTGGTGGATTGCTATACACCCCCGAATACCCCCATTTTTCACCACTGCAGTAGAGAGAGAGATAGAGAGTGAGCTGTGTGTGCCACTTTCTTCTGGAGTAATCCTTTGGAACCCCCTCTGACGAGCCCTAGGAGAGAGTATTCTGATCTATGATGATGATGGCGCCCCATACGAAGCGCAGATATTGCCAGTGTTATTTCAAATTTTACAACAATAGTATTCCCTAAGTGTCGACATCTAGCCCCGGGCATTTTCTGTGCATGAGCTTTGTTTATGTTAAGAGTCATGGCTGGATGAAGGTTTAGTAATGAAGCATAAATTAGTAACTGACCAAACTTCACGCGATTGAAATTGTTAAAAATGACTGAAAACCGTACAAATGTTTTAATTTTGAAGATAATTACTATATACAGACGGATTTTTGTGTATGCTTCTGCAGCTGCGCTAATCTTTGAGTTAAAATCACTTCAATTGTGCTGTGAAATAGTGCACAAAGAAGATTTGTATTTTGCTGGTGAAAAGTACTTTGAAGAAATTCCTACACCCCCACGGCTCCGTTGAAGGAAAGTTATATGAAAAGTGAATGTGCATCTCCGATCTCTTCGGCATCTTCAAGTAGGGTAAAAATACTATGTTTTTAGCCAAAAATCGAAATGTGTTGTTCGAGCTCCTCGAAAAATACATCGACTTTTGGGTTTCTTTCTCAAAAAAATCACAAAATCGAAGAGATTTCCATTTTTTTCAGGAACAAATCTTATTGCAAACTAAAATTCAATTAAACCGTTAAAAAGCTCTTGCTTTCAGCTTTCTAACGGTCTATAGGTTTTGTAATTTAAAGCAACTGGCCGCCTATAAACTCAATTTTACTGCAATCATTTCAAGGAATTTTCCGCCAACTCGGACGGCCGGTTCCCTTGCATTTATCTCGGCTATTTTTGAAGTTAAGAAAAGAAACATGCACACCGTTAGAAAGACCTCGCGCTTAGCTTTCTATTGACATAATAATTTTTGAATTTTGAGCAACTCAACGCCGGCACATAGGAATTTTTCGAAACTATGTCCAAAAACGAAGAAATACGGGTGGCTCCAGTCAAAGTCAATTTCTCGCCGCCCAAATGCACCAAAATGAAAAACCAACATGTCGTTAGAAAGCTAAAATCGTCAGCTTTCGAATGGTTCCTTGGTTTTTTGTAGAGTTAAAAAATCTTGATTAAAAAATAGGCATCGAAGTCAGAGATGAAACCTTGTATTTTGGCTACTCTTTTTTCTAGGGAGGCATCTCTTAATTCCCCCCCCCCCCCCCCCCCC